AGTGGTTCTTCTCTTCCAAAAACATTAACGATAGTGGTTCCGTTGTTATTGGTCATTGTGAAAAAAATTATGAAAAATATATTTTGAAAATCGGCGTTGTAATAACGATAATGTAAATTAGGAGAGATATCATTCAAAATTCAAAAATAAAAACAAAAAAAAAAAAGAAATGTAGTTGTAGTCAAACAAATCTTTGTTTTGTTTAAGATGCAAAAATAAAAAAAAATGCATTTTGAAAGCAAAAAATGCAAAAAATGTTCCTTAAATGGTAAAATAATTTAGTCATGTGAAAAATGCAAAAAAATATTTAGATCTGCCAGATTTCGACGCGTCTCTTGATTTTAGAAATACTTGCATATTTAACTTTTAAACTCAAAGATAAAGCTCTTCAAAGTAAATTTTTACATCTGGGTAAGTCATACGTTTTGTTTTTATTACACTACATTTAATCATAATTATCTGATAATGAAAACTTATTTCATGATACACAGAAACAATAAAATGCATTTAGGAGATTTTCACCTTGAAGTATTGGTTAATGGGCAAGCTTTATCAACCATGTGATGAATCAAATGTAAGTTTACAATAAAATGTTTAAGTATTTCTTTTTCTTTACAAAAAATAAAAAAATTAATTCATATTAATTGCATTATAATTAGTTTAATAAACCTGCATATCTTATGTTACGGATCCAATAACACAAAAAGAAAACCGCAAGTAAGATAATTTTTTTAAATATATATATATATATATCTAGTAACGTTTTTAAAAAAGAAATTAATGATATTTACTATCTTTTCATCTTTTCAAGTAATTTTATAACGTTATCCCGTCATGACCCCAGGAGAACGGTTTACAATTAGAACTGAGGTCAAACAAGCTAGCACGTCCAATATTATAATTTCACGTTTATATATAGATGGTCAGTTTCACGAAGTTCATCATCTTCACCAACAACACGTCTCAAGGACCATATCGTACTTCGTTAATTTTGAAAGAGATCAAGTATATTACTTTAAATTTGCTGTTGATAAATATCCAAATAAGCATAAACCAAACGTCATATGGGAGACTCGGAACAATTACTGCTTGTTTTTTCAAAGGGATTATTGTTGACGAAAGTGCTTTAAAATAAACCAGAATTCGAAGTCAAACAAGTAAAGATTACAAATATGGCTGATAATGGGGAGATTTGATGTCGTGGATGCAAAAATTCCACCGTCTACCGTAACAAAAATTATAGATATGAAACCATAGCTGTTTTACATTTTAACTATCGTTTTGTAGATTGGCTGGCAAAAATAGGATTTTTTATGACAATTTTAAATAACAATGTTGTCAAAGAACAACCAACAACCAAGAGAGATCATAGAAATTGACGTAGATTCAACAAAAGGAATCATGGATATCGATAACACCAACGTTGACCTGAAAACAGAATTCATGGAAATCCTAGATCCAACAAACGATAACACCAAAGTAGCTATATCAAAAAGAATCTTAGAAATTGAAAACTTCAACTTTGAAATAAAAAAGGCAAACAATGTAGTCTACGGAGTTCCAAGATCATTTCAAGAGATAACCGATACGTTTGAAAGTTTCAGAAAAAAACAAGCTGCGAAGTCTCAGGAACCTATTCAAGAAATCATGGATCCTGAAATAGAAAAATTGTCAATGACGAAATCGATGTTTCGAAAAAAATAAAAAGTCGAAACATCAAGATAAAACGTGTTAAACGTAAGAAAATATGAATTGCAAATCACAAGAAACTTTTATCATGTGAGAATTTTTTTTTTTTTTATTGTTGAATTTTGTTGTAAACATTTTTTATTTCATTATAATCGGTATTATATAATTCTTTCATAAAAAGTTAAATTTTTGATAATTAAAAAAAAAAAAATTTAGTTTGTTTTTTTTTAATATTTAAAATTTTTGATAAATAAAAAAATTTTTTATGTGCATATAATAATATATAAAATTCGATGTAACAAATTTTACATGATAATTATAAAATAAAAAATTAAAAAATAAAAAAAATAAAAATATTATTTTAATTTATGAAAATTTCTAAGTTTACACAGGACGTATGTATCCGTATCACGTGACATTATATTTGTCACCAGCGTCACTCCCTCCACCTTTAGTTTTTACTATTTATTTCAAGAACTTAGAATTTTTTCGGTGAAAAATTATTATTCATCACGCATTATCCGTCACATAGTCATTATACGGGTAATTTCTTAATTTCTTAATGCTGGTTAATGCTGGTCATATCACGTGATCCGTGTACAATACATCCGTGTACAAATAGAAATTTCCTTATGTTAAAATTTGATTTGTTTGATTTAGGTTGGGTTTTTATAAAAACATTAATAACGAGTTAGATTAGGGTTAGGATTAAGTGATTTATTAAAAAGAATAATTACATTTTAGCGATAGAATTAGGGTTAAGGTTATTGTTAGTTATTTATAAAATATTATTACTTACTTTAAATTTATTAAAATATGTTAAAATCTTACATTTTTTCTATTGCATCGACTGGGTAGAATTTCTAGGTAAATATATACATTTTTTTTTTTAAGTAAAATATGTTTATTATAAGATATGATGCCCAAGATCTTCATGATGGGCATGATCACCAAATAAGAAAATCGAAAAAGAAAGGTGTTGTAATTTATATAGATTAAAGAAAAGTTATAGAGAGTTTTGACTGTATCTAGTGGAGTTTTTAAAAAATGCGATCGCTCAAGTATTGGACAGGTATTATTTAGATAGCTATATTTCTATTAATATTACCAATAAGTACATTATCAATAAAAAGTGTAAATTAAAAAATCTAAGATGAAAGTAAATACATGTAAGAATATGAATACAAAATCATTATTTTTTAGACTATGAAAAGGATCTTAAATTGTAAGAGACGTTCAAGGATGGTTCAGAGATATCCATCCATTAAAACTAGAAACATTTCCAAGCCGAAAAATTTGACTAACAATTCAATAAAGTGAGCGCCGTTCTGATTTTACGAAACAGAATGTGCACGAAATTCTTTGGAATACTGCAAAATTGACGATGGCATCACAATCATCCTCGTCAACAAATTCGAAATTTGGTGGGGTCTCCAGAATGAAAGTGTGCATACCACCACGAGCAAAAAAGATATTGCCCATAGAAATTATGAATCGTCTTTCCTCTTGTGACACAAATCCGTCATCATATAGGTCGTTTTTGGCCTTTAATGTGCAATGGTACCAAATACATTGGAACGAACCAATTTCTCTTGTTGCAAAGATTTGGCATTGCATTTCAATAATAATTAGTTTTGGTGTATTGGCATATAGCAAGCAGTGTTGTAAAGGACGTAGTGTTGAACATTCGTAAATACTTTGGGGTTTTTTTTTTTTTTTTTAAAGTGCGGTAGCTTTTCTTTTGGTTGAATATAATATGAATAAAATATGTGAAATTTGATTGACTAGATCATTGAAAAAAAATTTGAAAAACGTGAAATAAAAGATTTTCAGTTTGATCCCGATAAAAATCATGAACCCTCAAAAACGAAGGTATAAAAAAAAAGGGTGCATGTATAATTCGGTATTTGGTAACATAAATAAATCAATCAGAACAAGAAAGTGATGATTGACCGCCTTTTCTGTTGAAAGTAGATGTTGTAGAACAATAATAAATTAGTCATACCTTTATTTCACGGGAATAAACATATTTATTTTATTCATGGGGCATGGAAATTCTATATTAAAATAATTTTATGTAATGAACTCTATTTATGTAGACTGTCAAAGCATGAAGTATAAACGTCATCAGGTTTAGCTTTAAGTTTGACCTGCATTTTTTACCAATTATTATACCAACTTCTAAGGAATGATCTTCCGGTCATAAAGATTTCCAATTTCGCTAAACTTGGTACCAATCAAAGGAAGTGTGAAGTATAGAATCATCATGGACATTCAAAGCGCTAACGCTAAAAAGGAAATTGATTAGTGCTTTATAGGAGGAAAATGATTTTTCATTTTTATCAAATGGAAAAGTGAAAAAAACAACAATTTTTTTCGCTTGGTAACGTAACACCACATTAACCAAAATTTTCTTATTTTAGTGTACGATATAAATTATACATGACAGCAATAAGTAAAAAAAAAAAAAATATGTATATATATATTTTTTAATAACGTTTAGAGAACTTTTTTCTTTGTACCGAACCGCCACCAAAAAAAAAACTTGAAACAAACAAGATTTTTCAAGTACAAACTTTATTGAATATGCAACAAGATAAGGATCATTAAAAAGGAGTGAGAACGCAAAAGAAATTTTAATCTGAAAAAGGAACAACTATTAGTAATTGACATACGCAACGTACGCCTTACACGAATTGTATTCTTGTTCTTAAAAAAGGTAAATTGTCGGATAACGAACGGATATTACAATTTATGTTATTTATGTTATTTTACAATTTTTTATTTGAATGGTGTTTCAAATATGAGACTTTTTACAATAATAACAATAGCAAGAAGGTTTCAGATGTTTGATTTGATGAAAAGGAGTAGTAAATAAAGAGCAGACAAACTTCAATTTTCGTAAAAGCCGATGTAACACTATATTGATTGTAATTAATTGCTTCAAAAGTAAAACTTACAAAGTTAAAATGAAGTTAGCCTGGTGAAGCAAAAAGCCTAATTGCATAATCAAATTTGCCCCACGCACAAACTTGTAATTGTTTCCCAAAAAGTAAATTATTGTCTCGAAATAATAATGGTCCTTTTTGTTGTCTCATATATCATTTTTTTTTTTACCCTTAGTTCCTATTAACTTCTAAAAACGGAAGTCGCAAAGATAATGATTCCTTATATAAGAGTTGAAAAATGTGGTCTCTGTAAATATTAAATCCCCTTACAAATTAAATCCTTTAAATTTCTAATAGTTAGTTATAAGGAAACTTTAAAATCCTTTTTTCTTTTTATCGTTTATTATAAGTTGAATTTTTTGATTTTATTTTATTTTTTTCCTTTCAATAATGTCGTCGCAAAATCCATTAAATGAAAATTTACAAAAAACATTTTACATTCCAAAAGGGAAATCAGGATACGTTATAGGTCATAAATCTACACATTTGAATCAAATGAAGTATGTAATTTAACAACTTTTCAAAATCAAAAAGAAAAAAAAAAATGGAAAAGATATCGTTTATTATGCTAAACGAATTTTTTTTTTATTATGTTTTCTTAAGAAAGAGTTCAGGTGCAGAGATAAAAATAAAGGGAACAAGTAATAACCCGTGTCGAGCGGTAATTAAGGGTACTGCGGAACAAATTAAAATGGCCGTTATATTATTACAAGACACCTTGGTTCGCTCCTATTCTATTTCACCCTCCATCGGATTCACTTTATTGAACGTCTCGGATGAGTACGAGTCGCGTTGCTTTGGTAGTGATATTAAAATCATCTCGTTTAATAAGGCTTCCAATGATGATCACGAAACCATCCCCTTTGATAAATATATTTTTGCGATTAACGCTTTACCAACTTGCCCTTACCCTTACCCTTCAACTTCAATTACTCCTGAATTTCTTTCTGAATCCCATGTCACTTGTAAGAATTGTAATCCATTGGATTTTTCAACCAATAGTTTATCAGGGAAAGTCTATAAATTTTCCACGATTCAAATGTTGGAACCTTGTTTAAACCATATTTGTGAAGATCTTATTTATGAAAAAAATATTTCGGAGGATGAGGAATTTCGATTAAAAGTTTGCTTTGGTAAAGTAATATTTACTAAAATCGAACAAACTTCTCTTACTTTATGTGAGTGGAATGGATTAAAGAGAGGTCATAAAGGAGTCACTACGTCATTCAATCATGATATTGGATCTCTTGAGAGAGATTATTTAATTGAAAGGTTAATTCAAGATTTTGGATTTCGTCAAGTTAATCTTGTTGAGGAAACTGTCATTACAATTTTATTTACCGAGAGAAATACAAATTGTAGAATGAAATTATATTTTGACCCAATAGTTTGTAAGTGATAAGTTGAGAATTTTACCATATTTTCCCATCAAAAATGAATCTTTCTAAACGGAATTTATTTTATTCACAGCTACTTGGAAGATAAGAAGGCTGACGAAAAGTATTAGTCGACACGCAATAATCGACATCGTTTCGGGAAAGGAATCCCCCGATTTACGCTTCTTGATCAAGTCTCAAAACCCGACAAGATTTCCCATTGTCCAAAAGTATCATACAACGATCAATAATATTCAAAAGTCCAACAGATTCCTCGGTAGAATGAATTTAATCAACGGACCATCGCCATTACAGTTGGATTGTAGTAAAATGTACATTAGGCAAAGTGATTTTGTCTCAAATCGAAATTTCAAATGTACGAGTGTTAGACAATCAATCATCAAAAAACAATTTATGTAAGTGATTTATAAAAATCTCGTTTATGTTTCTTTGGAATTAAATTTTTTTGAATTATATCTCATCAATTCTCAATAATTAATTTAGAAATGGAATTTGTACGCTTAATTTCATGTCTACTTTACAAGATGAAGAAGGTAGAGTTACTTCGGAAGATACAGTCAATTTGATCCATCATTCTTGGATCACGCCGTCGTTTTCGGGACGTGCGCCAATAAATCCTGAAGATCCGAAATTTCACGATTCAATCATCGAATCCATTAATCTCGCAAGAAGGCTCACTGAAATGATCGGACGTTGATCGAAAAATTTTTTTTTTTTTTTTTGAAATATTTTATTATTAATATCGCTTTTCATTAGAGATAAGGTTTCAATTCTTGGAAATAGTTTAATGGTTAAAAAAAAAAAAAAAAAATTATTTTAAAGTCTTTTTACTAAAGTAAATATGATGAAATTATTTTATTTGAAAAAAAAAAAGGGAATTCTAGAAATAGAAAAGAATTTTTTTTTGTTTGTTTGTGTTTCACCTTATCCTAGACCCAGTTCAGGGTTATAATTCTAGACCCCTGGGGTTCAGGCAAATTAACCTGTACCTCCTTCCCTTTTCAGTAAAAAATTTTCGCGGTATTTTTTTTTTTTTAAGAAAATTTAGTTTATTTTACAATTTAACTATTCATTTTATAATAAATTTCTTGTACTTTTTGTTAAACAATATTGTTTGTTGAATTTTTATTGTATAAAAATGCATACAAAAATAATTATATCTCCACAAATATCTAATTTAGCTTGATAAAAATTGATATTTGACTATTTTCATATATGTTATATATGTTGAACAATTTTATCTATACTTGTATTGTCAGTTAGTTTGACCAAAGTGCTGAAATTACGCTGTGAAATTAAAAAAAAAACACGATACGCGACATAGTTGTTTAGAACAGTTTTATATTTCGTAAAATGAAATATTAACAAGTAAAAAATTGAAAAATAAAAGGCTGTCATAAAATAAAAGAAAAGAAAAAGAATAAGCAAGACAAGAAGAAAGAAAACATAAATGCTGATTTTTGTCACGTAACAAATATAGAAACGCGGAAATAACCAAAAATTACTAAATTAGGCAACGGGTCTAAATTAATCAACCTGAACCCCGGAGGTCTAACCTTTTTAGTGTGACTCACCATTTTTATCATTTGTTTAAAATCTACATAAAAAAAAAAAAAAAAAAAAATTTCTATAAAATGTGTCGGAAAATTTTTCGAGTTTCTTCTTTACTGAATGTTGCGTTTTCCATTAAGAAATTTCCTTAAAGTAATCATCATGTAAATGACAGTAAAGAATGGCTCACGTGGGATTTCTTTCATAGGGAATGTTGCGCTTTTGTTTTCGTCCAAAGAATTGTAAAATTTAAGAAAAAATTTCTATTAATACTTTGCCTACTTTACCGATATATAAATAGTTCCTTTACTCTTTCAAACTTCAGGATGGTTATTAACTACGATTATGTTTGCTATCGTCATGTCACTTGGTGCTTTTGCTTCCTTACTTTATGTGAAGCATTAACGACAATTCATGGAAATGAAAGATTTCAAGTAAGCGATTATAGCTAGCTCCTTATACTCTATATTGATATCCTTTATCGCGAAATTAATTATATCTCCCCCCCCATTTTAGCGTAAAATCGAATTTACTCATTTATCAAATCTTTTTAATCCACAATCGCAAAGTGCTAATAGTTGTGCAAATGATTTTGTATTTGGCTATTAGTCGATTATTCTCGCTTCATTTATATTGTCAGCTCAAGCTATGGATTGGACGTTATTGAAGCTCACTTGTGGATTCATTTGTGTAGACGAAGAGACCAATGAGAATAGTCCTTTCGGTTCGAATTATATGCTAGCCACTTCTGGATTTATGGTGATTAATTTTGGAGAGAGTAAAAATTTACTGCACCACGCTTACGCTACTCATATTTAAAGATTACGTTGGCATTTTGTGTTCCTTTGACATTTTTGGAGCGAATTATATTGTTTCAATTTCTCAAATATTATGCTTATTTTCGGCGTCTCACGTAATTTCTAGTTTCTTTCGGGGCTCTCGTTTTTATTATAATCACGTGGATCGTTACATTCATTCATTACTAGGATGACTAAAGATTATATTCCATTGGTCAGCAATGATCAGAGTCAGGTTGTCGGAATAGTATTATTTAACTATGCGTTTATCACCACCATTCCAATCTGGGTTAACGATCTAGTACATATCAAATATTGATTTAGTATTATTATTATTTTTTTTTTTCCCTTTGAAAAGCAAGCATCTTAGCGACCTGACGTTTGTATCAGAAAATCTATATGGTATTCTGTGGTAATAAGCACAGCATCATACAGTGCATTAGGAATATTAGGAGGAATGGCATATCAAATGGGTTTAGCTTCAAATATTATAGCACAAATTAATGCATCGTCACATCTATCGCAACTTTTGTATTCCGGTTGCGGTTTTATTAACGAGTATACCAGTAGAATTTATTGTCGTTCGTTATAATTTGATGAGATCCGGTTTTTGCGAAAAAGGTGATTTTTTTTAAAAAAAAAATTATTATTATTATATTTATTTAATTATCTTTTATTCTAAATAATTTTGTTGTAGGAATGTCAAACGTATTGTCGTTATTACTACCTTGGCTGATTGTTATACCATTTCAAACAGGAAATTGGTTAAATATATTTACAAATTGTGCCAGTTTATTCTTTACTAGCACGAGTAATTTTTTTATTTATATTATTTAAGTCAAAAGCGAAAGAGACAACATTATATCATAGAAATTGTTCATCGGGAAAAAGGTTTAGAATCGACTCCGAAAAAGAAAAATAAAACAAAACAATCAAATGAATTTCTTTACTTCAGCAATTGTAACTCCTTCATTTCCGAAACTCAAAGTTTCTGGTACTCCTATTGGTACTATAAATGAAAAGACTTCTAGTAATGTAGATGTGGTTGATAAAGATCAGAATCGACCATCACGCGCTATCAATCTAGAAAAAGCTCGTCAAATTCTGGATATGCACATTCTAAACAAAATTCTTATCCATGATATTGATGAAATCTATTTGAACAAACCTTCAAAAAATTCTTTTGTCGCCTTTCCTATTCAAAGGAAAGGAGAATAATTATTTCTTTGGTTGCGGGAATTACTTCTATTATTTTGGTTGGTGCAATTATTACTTATTAAATTATAAGTAGATTAAAAAAAAAAAATAGATGTAAAGTAGAAATGAATATTTTTTCTTAATATATATATTTTTTTTTTTTTGATTATTTAATTTTTAATTTTTGATCAAGTAATTTTTTAATTGATTAAAAAACAAAAAAAAAAAATTAAAAATGTACCTTTAATTTTTGAGCCAATACCCTGTCCCGTGACTAACAAGGTTGTGATGAACAGTGAAATCAGAAATAAAATAAGTTGTTCTTTAAGAACCATCACTTGGTTATGTTTTATAATTGTTAATTATAATGTTATTTGATCTTTTTATTTCGGCGATCGATGGATCTGTTGTTGATTGAATCGGAACATCATTGTGAAGTTTTAGATCATTGTCTTGAAAGTATTTATAATCTTAAAGTTTGATTATTAGATATTCCAATCGTTCGAATCAATATTAAAATTAGTATAAAGATGAGTAAAAACTAAATTTTTTGCTTTAAGTCTTTATTTAATTATGCCTACTTGTTATAGGTATGAGATAAACTTTAACAATATTATCAACAATTAAATGATCAGAATTTAGCTCATTGTGAGATAATTCAAATAAAAATGATTTTTATTTTTATGTGGGTTATTGATCAAGAAATACATATAAATTAAATAGGATTTAGGATTTGGGATTTGGTATTGAAATTTAAATCTAGTATAGGATTTGAGATGGAATGAGATTCTATAGTATAAGGTATAGCAACTATATTCCTACTTTATTATTAAAAAAAAAAAAAACAAGCTCCTTTTGAAGGAGAAAATATGATAAATATTAACTATTAAACCAAATTTATGATCAAAGAGGTTTGCTGTTTAGATCATATGATTTATTATATCATAATAAATCACAACCATTTGTCCACCTTGTTTATAATAAAGGACCAGACAGACGAACTTCTTCTTTGAAATCTGAAATCTTTAAAAAAAAAAACAAAACAAAAATAAATTAACAAAATTCAATTCCATAAAATGTACATTACTGACGTTACTAAAAGATGTATAAAGATATTTACCTGATCCTCTCCGACAACACTAAAGTATACAAAATATTTGTGTATATACTTTGTTCGTATCTTTGATCGTTCGCTTGGAAAAAAGCGACCTTTACAGTACCAAGCTTTTTTGAATCGAGTTGCCTTTATTTTGTGGTCCTCTCCACGCTTAGGAAGGAAGGAAACCATTTTTTGTAGTAGTAAAAGGTAAAGTCGATTATTTAATTATCCAAGTTTTTTTTTTTTGGTAGAATAATATTTGGTTAAGGTTTATTTACATTTTGGTTTAGTGGATGTACTATACTTACATATTTAGTAATTAGGTTACATTTAAGGCAATTTCGATTCGTAAATGATGGATGGTGATTGGTGGTAAAGAAATTTTATTAAAAACGGTAATATTTTATAAAACAAAAAAATTTAATAGTAAAAATAAAAAGGAAACCACATTAAAAACTCTATAAAGTCACATATAATTTACATTTACAATGGTAATTATACTCGTTATGTTTCTAAAAAGATTATGTAACTGCAACAGCGTTAATCACAAGATTTATCTTATTAAATTTTTTTTTATGTAAATAATAAAACAACTCGATTAAATTAAAATTTTGGTATATTGTTATTTACCATTTCGTATAGCCTCTAATTTCATCATTTTCTATCTACATCATCTCATGTAGCACGAGGATATCTTTTAATCACATTTCCCCACATGGCCTACTTCATAAAGGCTCCATCGGATTTGTTCATTTCATTTTCATATAACTTTTTCCCTTAAATAAAAAGAGCATCACCGCAAATAAAACTACTTAACATGTGATACTACAGACAAATCTTTCAGGACGACGAGTATTTTTTTTAAGGATGTATCAAACTTGTAATAGTTGGACGTTAGGTATCTCGGCATATTCTACATTATTAATCATAATGGCTTGACTACCGCCTTGAAGGAAGATTCTTCAAACCTCTGATCTCAGAGGATGACCCTTACTCTCTCTAACAGATAAATAACTACCGAATCAAGCTAGAATGCCAACCCCCCAAGAATCATAATTTAAAAGAGCCTGAACTTTCAAAGTAAGAAATCGTGGCTTCATTAGTACTAATTCAGGAACGATCTCAATGCCCTCTCGACAGTTTGGAAATACTCTAATCAAAGAACAGCATGTTAACGTTTTAACCGCCCTCTCTCTAATCCTGTTTTTCTATGAAAATTTTAAAGAAAATTTCAATAAAGTGGTGTATTTTGTGTACGAACTTTTCCAATCAGTTACACTAATATAAAAAAACAAATATCGTACCAATATTCCATCATCTGCTTAAGAGATGACTAGGTACATAATTTTTATGACCTGATGCAACTATCAAAAAGCACGTCCACTTTCTACTGATTTCCCTGTAATAATAAATAAAATAATACGATTAATATATTAAATACAAGTAAGATACCCTTGCACGTTCTAACTTATATCATGTGCCCATTATAAATACCATGTCTCCAGTCTTTTGTTCTTTAGCTTCCTTTTCGTTATCCGTTTTCCGATCACTATTCTTGCCAAGAACTTTTTTCATATACAATGTAAATTAGTATTTACAGAAGTAAATTAATTATTGACTCTCTGAATGATACAAGATATTAGCGCATCTAATTACAAATTGAAATAACATCAAAAAATTCACTATCATTTTATATTGTTTGGAGCTATATGTCAATTGTTGTCCCTTCGGATATAACTATCAAAGAACATCAAATGATAATACTAAGCTACACGTCCTATAAACACACTCTTTACCATATAATTCCTCAATAACTTAATCATTCACAGGCTTTACCTCTTCCGAATTCTCTTTAAGAGTTTTGCTTATATTCTCTTCGGATCAAGACATATTTATTTTTTTTTACGGGGATTAAATAAATGTTGATCCATTTATATTTCTCACTCAAACGTTAATTTTTTTTGAAGATTCCGCATAAAGTTAGATCTTTTGATGTCACTAACAACGTTGGTCGCATTCTAAACTAAATTGGACTCCTCAGCGACATGTTCATTAGTAGAGCAGCAATTGAATTCCAACTGGAAAGTGCGTAAAGCATTAGCTGAAGTTTCACAAAGTAGTTTGAGGATTGAATACTGAGAGCTGAACATGTGTCGTGGCGTCACTTGCAATCACTTCTGAATGTTCCAAACGTTCGAAATTACTTTGAGAAGTATTAAAAATTGGTCCGACTTGATTATCTTATAAATTTTAATAACATGACATTTCCTAATATATTAGGGCATAAAATACCCGCCTTTTTCTATTTATAGTCAAAAATTTTTTTTGATAATCATGCCCGATAAAGGTTTTGTCTCCGTATTTGACAGAAAATTAGTGTCAATTTAAGCAATTATGTCTATGCGTTAAAACAACACGAGATGTGTAAAAAGGTAATTACGTTTTATTTTAATAAAAGTGTGTTCATACAAGTTCATTGAATAAAACCATTTATAATTTAGAAAGACGGTTTAAATGAAATTGGCGCTATATGATAACAACCGGGAGTTTTATCATTAATACGCCGACATTGTTAGTAAAACATTGAATCACGAATGTAAATTTTCTAAAATTACATCTGAAAAATATAAAATATTTTTTTAAAAAAAAGGTAATATTAAATAATTCTTGTTATTCATGTGTGAATGTTTAACAAAATTTCTATAATACCGATTGATCTTATTATTTATCAAATTTATTTCTATCATGCGAATATAGATAAAATGTGGTTCAAAAATGCAAGTTGTCTTTTGTCGCATTATAACTTACAGCATTTCTTCAACTAAAACATCAACATTACGCGATACTAAATCCTCGTAGGTACGTAATATGATATTATAACCATATATATATATATTATTCGAAATTAATTAATTTGCTATTATTTTAGACGATTTTTCAAAGCTGCAGATCAACTTTTTTCCGGTAGCGTTGTTGAATTTGGGAGGAACTAAAAGATTGTGGACCTTTGGTATTATTATATTGAAAATCTTTTCGTTATTTATGCATCTAGCCTATTACAATCAGATATCGAACAACGTAAGATTATTTCATTAAAATTTTTACATTAATTCTTGTCTATCAACTTTAACAATTATCGCATTAAATATTGGTTTGAATTAAAGTTAGGTGGACAGAACATCTACTTATGATGTCAAAGAATTCATATAACCAATAAACTAATTCTGCTGTGACTGTATTAATTCGAGAGATCGCTAAAGCAACTTGTTGATGCTTTAAGAGTTGATCCTCGCTTACTTTATGCGCCGATAATCAAGGTATCGTTTAATATTGATATTTTCATTATGGATTCCTTCAAGGCATTAATTTTCTTTTAAATTACTTTAGTTGAATTAGTAATGAATGAAGGCCAATTATGAGCATACAAGGATTGGAATATAGATTATTATTTAATCCATAAGTTAATACTGAATTCATAAGGTTTTTAAAAAAATTGATCTTTAATTAGATATATGAAGTCTATATTTCTTATATTCTTTTGAATGATCGTATCTATTATATGTGATTAATATGATAAAATTTTTATTTTTAAATAAAACTATTACAACTTTTAAATAATATCTGTCGCATAAATTTGTGATTCTCCTCATTTTTCTCACTGTACAAACATCGTCTCGAAATACTTTATGTCTTTTGGCATTTCAGCTCGTTTCTTATCAGAAATATCCTATCGTTCATGATGCAAATGATATTACACTACTAGCACAAGGGATGCTTCTTTGATAAAAGTTGGAAATCCAATCATGAAATAACTACCGTTGCAGGATCATAAGTAAAGCTTCTATTTTGGTTAAAAAAATAATCACAAACAATTCGTTTTCGTCTAATTACTTTAACTTTATTTATGTTCTTGTAAAAATCA